CCGGCCGCCAACTGGATTTAACTCCATTCACCACAACTCTTTGGGCCCGGCCGTCCAGCCAGTTTTTTACTCAGCGAAGAGTACATCCGTCCAAGCCACGAGCAGCCAGTTTCTCCAGGAGAATGCTGTGGGAAACGGTGTCAAAGGCTTTACACTAAAGTCTAGGTAGACCACATCTACAGCCTTTCCCTCATCCACTAGGGGGGTCACCTGGTCATAGAAGGAGATCAGGTTGGTCAAGCAGGACCTGCCTTTCCTAAATCCATGCTGACATCAGGGCCTGATCACCTGGTTGTCCTGTACGTGCCACATGATGGCACTCAAGATGATCTGCTCCATAATCTTTCCCGGCACCAAGGTCAGACTGACAGGCCTGTAGTTCCCCGGATCCTCCTTCCAGCCCTTCTTGTAGACGGGCATCACATTTGCTAACTTCCAGTCAACTGGGACCTCCCCGGTTAGCCAGGTCTGCTGACAAATGATTGAAAGTGGCTTGGTGAGCACTTCTGCCAGCTCCCTCAGTACCCTCGGGTGGATCCCATCTAGCCCCATAGACTTGTGTGTGTCTAAGTGGTGTAGCAGGTTGCTAATCATTTCCCATTGGATTATGGGGGCTTCATTCTGCTTCCTGTCCCTGTCTTCCAGCTCAGGGGGCTGGGTACACAGAACAACTGGCCTTACTATTAAAGACTGAGGCAAAGAAGGCATTAAATACCTCAGCCTTTATCACTACGTTTCCCCCCGCATCCAGTAAAGGATGGGGCTTCTCCTTAGTCCTCCTTTTGTTGCTATGTATTTATAGAAACATTTTTTATTGTCTTTTACGGCAGTAGCCAGATTAAGTTCTAGCTGGGCTTTGGCCCTTCTAATTTTCTCCCTGTATAACCTCATGACATCCTTGTAGTCCTCCTGAGTTGCCTGCCTCTTCTTCCAAAGGTCATAACCTCTCCTTTTTTTCTTGAGTTCCAGCCAAGTTCTCTGTTCAGCCAGGCTGCTCTTCTTCCCTGCTGGATCATCTTCCGACACATGGGGATGGCCTGCTCCTGCACCTTTTAAGACTTCCTTCTTGTAGAATGACCAGCCTTCCTGGACTCCTTTGCCCTTCAGGACTGCCCCCCAAGGGACTCTCAACCAGTCTCCTAAACAGGCCAAAGTCCGCCCTCCGGAAGTCCAAGGTAGCAGTTCTACTGACCCCCCTCCTTACTTCTCCAAGAATTGAAAACTATCATTTTGTGATTGCTATGCCCAAGACAGCCTCCAACCATCACAATGCCCACAAGTGCTTCTCTGTTCCCAACAACAGATCCAGCGGGCCACCCTCCCTATTTGGCTCACTCACCAGCTGTGTCAGAAAGTTATCTTCCACACACTCCAGAAACCTCTTAGACTGTTTCCTCTCTATTGTATTTCCAGCAAACATCTGGAAACATCGACAGCTACCAAGCAGCCACACTTCCCTTTTTGTGTACGAGAAGGAACAACTCTTTTCAGATATGCATGTCTTGCAAAGCACAGCTGCATCTCAGGTTCTGGCAGCATCTGGACTTTGAGAAGCACACGTCTACAGTATAAGTACCCACCCGCTGGGTATCTCACTAGAAACATGAAAGAAAACAGTGGATTCAAGATCTTTGTGCAACTCCCTTACATAAACTTAACCGCTCTACATCCAAGTATAGAGGAGGCAGAACATTATTAGTAGGTGTCCTGGATTAAGGCACGCATACCCTTACAGCACTAAGTGCTTCCACTAGATTAGGTTTTTTCAAATAAATCCTCACTGCATGAGAGAGAGCATTTTCTTGTTTTCACCATCAGGTGGAGCAGTTCAGCTCAGGCAAAGCATAATAACAAACTCATCAAAAATACAATGAGTGAGCATCAAACCAAATAAAATGAACACTAAGCAGAATGTTAAAGCCCCGGGCTGAGAATCAGGCTAGTAGAGTCTTTATAAGTAGGAAGGATTTGTACCATATCAAAAGACAGGATAAATGCTAGTCAGAATTATAGCCCGATTCCCAACTGATACTTAAGTTCTAATTGTGATTTGTCTTATAGAAGGTCCTTATAGCCTTTGTTCATTAACAGTGATGTAATATGATTACTAAAGGCTCTTCCTAGTTTTTTGAATGTGTCCTTCACACAGAAAATAAAATAAAACTTGCACACCCATACCCCCAGTGCTCCTGAAACGGAAAGGAATAATTCGTACAGTAACCTGAGTAGTATACCAACATTTAAAGTAACAGACCTCCTAGAGTTTCTGATATGCGTCTCACAAAGATGCTATAAGAATGATTAAAGTCCATCCAAACTTCTCCTTCTCTTGATTAGGAATAATTATTTCATGCAAGCAATTTATTTGTTCAACCACCTCCACAGTAGTTACTGTGCTAAGTGAGTTCTCATTTCACGCAACAAAAAAGGTCTTTGGAAACAGCCACAGCCCCTCTGCAAGTGTCACTAATATACAGAATCTAAAATATTTCTGTCTGACAGCTGCCTAAATTAGATCCATCCAAATATTGTAGGATAATTCATAGTTTTAGCCAGGTTTGAAAAGCTGTAACTGTCTTTCATATTAGATTCCACAAGAGATAGAGATGCTTCCTACCCAATTATTTTGTTACCTAAATTATAGGTGCTAGCAAAAAATGCGCATTTTTCTCTTTCAAATATTATGACATCTTAAGGCTTCTTCAGAGATGCCTGCTGTAGGAGCTGCAGATATGAAGGTTTACGTGAAATTAATATGCTGAATGCTAAATAAAATAGACCTCACTGGAAGAACCCATAACCACAAAGCCTGAAAGGATACCACAAACTGACAAACAATATAATATACGCATTAAGCCTCAAAGACCAATACACTGCAGAACATCCGCCTCTTCTGAGCCACATAAGGCTCAGAAAGCCATGCTGCCATCTCAAACAAAATGCTTCTGAGTAGCTATTTGGAAACCTTACGGATCCTATGTGGGCAACAGTGGCCAAGACAGCATGGCACCTACACCACCTTCTTACCCCTCTTTCCTCCCCAGTCTCCCCTCCCCTTGCCTTGCCTTGGCATGTGTGAGTTGACTATAACAGTTGTAGCAGCAGGGGA